CACATAGACTGGCGATGATTCGCGATGATTGACGTATCAGGTACCTCGACAGCGGTTCGGGTACTCGGAGGTTGAATCGGGTACGTCCAATCAGACTACTCGATCGTGATACAGCAGGACTTCTTGGGCACTCTTAGAATTTCCCGAGTACCCAGGTACCATAGTCGAAGCCGTCGTACCTCCGGACGTTAATCCATGTACCCGGGCGATAATCGTCGAAATCCCCTGACCCGGAGGACAGCTCCTTATCGAGATAAGAACTAGAGAAATGATTTCCAAGGGAAAGTTTCGAGTAGGTATTACTCGAGGATCATCCGAGGGAAATTCTGACCCGTCCACCAGGACGCAGCTAGGAGAGGACCCAACGAGCCGTCATCGGATGAACATCCCTCCAAAATTAGGAACCAAGGTACCTGGATATCGCGAGACACCTGTCTCCTAGGAGCGCACAGATGCGGAAAGGAAAAAGTCCGCCAACCGGGTGATCATCGAGGGTGTGTATCCTTGCCCCGGGTCGAATACCGGTACTCGGAGATGATCGGGCGACTATCGTCGGGTTTCCCAGAGGTGGAGGCTAGGTGACCCACCCGGGTGTCATCCAGGGCCGTCTAGGGGATCCTCGAGGCGGACGGGTCGGCGAAAGGGTGACCGATCAAAGGGGCAAGTTTCATGAGAGAAACCTCGAGCTCGGGAAGAGAGTTGCGACAAAGGGCTCGGTGATTTCGGCGGCGACGGGGAGAAAGAGAAAGAGGAAGGACCGGAGGAGGGAGACAGAGAAGAGAAAGAGAGAAAGAAGAGAGAAGACGAGAACGACGTCGCGGGTGCCCTGAAATTTCGACGTGTACTGCAGCCCGAGCACCGGTCTTCACTGATCCCGCGTAGGGCCTCTCGTACTCGCCTCGGAAAGACTCCGAGGTCTGCGCAGTCGGCGCCACGGGGTTTCCACCACCAGCTAGACCACCATCCCCGCCGCCATCGCACGACCACAAGCCCTCCGGCATCCACCTTGCCCGCCCCGCCACCTTCCGCGGCGACCTGCAACCTTCCACCCCGGCTAGCGAAGGCCTCGAGCGCGACTCGAGCGCGATCAAGTGGAGACTCCCGGTCTGACGTCTGACGCGGCGCGTCGCGTCTAACTACCTATGGGGGAGACTACTGCTCCGAGGACAACTCCCGGTGCGTGGCGAAGGGCTTCAAGATGTACTTGGGCTTGGGGAAACAGCGGGGGAGCCTGCCAGGACGGCTCGAGAACCTGTCGAGAGGCGAGTGAACTCCCCCGAGAGGGCTCCTTGGGGAAAATGAAAACACGGGCTCCCCTCGAAGAGGAGTCTTAAGATCGAATTATGTTTCTCGGAAGGCGCGCCTTGTTTGTCCGGAGAGTGCGAAATGTCGCTTCTTAATTAACCTTTCGGCCAGGGGGCATTGAAGAAATACGCCTTAGGAACGGTATCGAAGGTTGGGAGGTGTATCTGAAAATTGTCAGGAAATTAAAGGGTACTTGAGGAAGCGTTCAATGTGTTCCCTTGCGGATATTATCCCTCGGCTGTGCAGGATTTTATGTACAATTTTTTAATCAATGCGGTTAAACCTATTTCATCGGGAGTTTAAGTAAAATGGGGTTATTTAAAAAATTCAAGAAATAACATGATTGGCTCGATGCACGGTTTTGTTATGTGAAGCGTAACAATGGACGATAATGCACTCGACGCTAATGACGCGATGTAGCATTGTTAGGAATTTCTATTATTTTCTCGATACCGTTACTAGTCGTGTCCTTCGGAGAATTTACCGCTAGATAATTTCAGAAAATTATGCATTCTTTAAGGATGACTGCAAAAAGGAAACGGTAAAAGGAACTCGGAAAAATAGGAAAAGGAGGGTAACAAGCCGGGGATAAAAGGTATTAAAGTTAATTAACGACGTGCTTTAGCGTCGGTCGCGGAATTGGTTAAAGTATCATTAAACGGGGACTAAGGAACTTTTTGCCTCAAGTACGTAAATCACCGCGCATTTAGTAAGATGATTCAATTCGTAACTAGTATATACCTGTTGCGGCACAAAGTCGGACCGCGATTTCGTACGTTTTAATGCAAGCCCTGTCTCCTCGTATTCATACAGAAAAATAGTATGCACTGATATGCAAAGTAAGGCACAATTATTCTGTTACTAACTCTACTCTAGGCGTATGCAAATTCTTTCTCCACTTTTCCGGCAGCGAGGTTTGATTCGCATATTAAGTTACCAAGAAATCTGAGTAGAACGAATGCATTTGTGTCATCCATATATGTCTTGCAACATTACCGTTCTTCTTCTTAAATATATCAACTAGTCACAAAAATTGGTATATTAAAGAATTATTATATCTATATCGAGAAGACGGAATATTCAGTGATTTTGATAGATTGTGTATTATTAGGGATGTTAAAATACCCCGAGATTACAAATTCCGCGAATAAGAATAATTTCAGATTTTCAGATATTAATTATGATAAACAGGAATTGAATTGGACTTTAGTAGTTGAATAAATCTATATTAGGTAGCCATTTTATGTAGTCCATCAATGCATATTAATACTCATTATTTATGCATCTGGCACCTGCGATGACTGAAATAAACGTTCAAATGCGGACACTTCTAAATGATATTCAACATTTACTCCACGTTTTACGAAAGTAGACAATTCCTACGAGATACGGACATTAGGCCTCATAATTCTGCAAAGCATCATCGCTCATTGTCGAATTGTCAAATTTGATAAATACACGGACAATTATACAAGTTATCTAAACAAATGCTATATATTTGTATGTACTTGTTTGGGTATTGCCAGTTCAAGCAGCTTTAAAGCTTCACATTTCAGTTGATCATCATTGAGGTTTCATAGATACTGACAGTCATGCGTAAAATTGCACAATACAAAGAAAAAATGGATACCGTTCTTAAAATCCGTTTAAATCTGACAATAAAATAATAATATATCCTAAGCATAAAGTAAATCTCATTTTCGCAATGTCTTTTAGCGATAGAAACAATTTCTAGGTATCCATAATCCGAAGTGAGACGAAGTGTATTTACGTTCACAGATAAAGTATAATATAAATCTTCCGTCTGTCCTGGAATTGGAATTTTAAAATACTTGTCTAAGGTGTCCAGGCATACTAACCAAACTATGTTTACCTAAAAACTGTACCGCATATGCGCATTCTCAGTTATAGTTTCGAGAGAAGTATGCGCCTTCGAGTAGTAATAACATGTTTATGGTCATTTTTGTTGTTGATACGTGCCCACATTGATATCAAATTGCTTTTATTTCGTGATTACATTCACATGGTCAGGAATGTCAGCAAAACATGCAAATACGATAAAAAGATATTTGTCTTTTACCATGACAATAACAAAGATATATTATAAACCTTTCCTTTCCTTTGAAAAGTTATTTCATCGGCAGGATGACATTTCTGCTATGTACTTGTTAATTAAAAATAAGTTCGACTTTAAAATCATTTATCGTTGTTTACATACACGTGTAACCACATCTACGGTGCTGTACCAAATGATATTTCTAGACGCTTGGGTAGTACGCCATTTTGTAAAAGTGATGATTCCAGACATAAGACTTTAACCCCATAATATTGTGGCCCAAGAGCTTTGCACACGTCTTCATTTTTTATGACGAGTTTGTGCAGTTATACCGACTGCAACGAGGAAATCGCTTTTCGTGTGAAACTGTACCACAGGATTACCAAGAACCCTGACGTCAATGCCGGAATTATTCGATGACCCCGCGTTCATTGAATAGATACGTCTGGAATTGGCAGATCGTTATTCTCGGTCAAGATCACAGGATCTTACGGTGATGCTAAGAATGTTGATGCTGTGATTCCGCGTGCTCTCCTTATCGTTCAAAGTTCAAAACTTTTCGATTATTGTCAACATGCCGTTGTTACGTCTCCGATGACTAGTAACTGTCTAGTAAAAGTCGAATCATGAAATCGAGGGCAGATGCACAAAACATATTAAATAGACTAAACTAAGGGTTTTATAAAATACATAAAAGTACCTAAGATTCATATTTTACCTCAGTAGCAATAACTGTCATGAAATTAATTTATTTCTTTTTCAATTTTAAATAGAACAACTAAAACGTGTTAAATGACTTTTCCATTATATTATGTCAAATCAGGAAACGTATGTGTAGGATAATGCATGAAATATATATAAAATGATATATGTATTTGGTACCCAGGAATATTACTAACATATAATAAGTGGTTTATTATAGAACAACAAAAAAGGATTAGGAAATCGATAGTATACAAAATAAATACCACATCAGTTATTGCATTTCTTAAACAAATATAAGGAATTACTCATGTAATTTTGTACTTAGTTATGGAAGAAATTAATTACGGGTTCGACTGAAATATTTTTCGGAGGTGGAACGTGTGCGCCATCTAGGTAGCCCTCCAGGAACCCTGCAGCTTCGATCAATGGATAAGCTAGGTAAACCTCGCCAAATATCCAGTAAAGGTATATTTATTTAGTAGTTTACCGGTAAGGTATTCGTTTTAAAAATTGAATATTAAATAAACGTTCGAAAGGTGGAAAGGATGCTACTTCACGCATAAGAAAGAACCATTAGATAATTATAAAGCGTTTAAAGCAATTCTTCATTCCGAGCATAAAAATACCAGTTTATTTAATATTAAACAATGACCTAGCGATCTACCGCATATTCTTCAAACAATTCTCGAGTGAGGATATATACAAAAGAGTGTAAATGAAAAAAGTTATCAAGACTTTAAATAGCGGAGAAATAAATAAGTCTCCAAATCTCAAAAGGCAAGCGCATTCTTATTCTCGAGAATCACCCGAGATGGGAGAGGAAAACGTACCGTCGGGTTCCGAAATTTCGGTTACGACCCTGATTATTTTCCCGACCTCTCTCTCCGACCGACGCTTGCGCATACCAGAGTCCGGTAACGGCACGGAGTCATTCCTCGCACTTACGCGTGGAGATCGGCCGTGCGTCGTGTCATCAGAGCAGCTAAGCATATTCCGCCTTCTCACCGGCATTTCCTCGAGCGAGAAATTCTACGGAACCTCGTCGTCGTGACAAACGGCACGTTGGAAAAGCGTTCAGGTGGTCGGTCGTTTCCTCGACCCGAGGAAACGATAGGAATACGACGTGGAAACGACGTTGAGGCGAGAACGCTTCGCAGTGGCTCGGCGAAGCTTCGGGGAAGATCGGCGAGACTCGGCGAGTTTCGGCGGCGCGTGGAGAGGTGATCGTGCGCATGCCCGCTCCAAGTGACCGCGCAGGTCGAAGCCTGTGAGGCGAGCGTCGTTCCTCGTGACTGTTGTCATCTCTGTCGCGCAGGCAGGTTGCGGAGCGGCAGTCACAAGGAGAGACCGAGCTCCGACCTAACGAAGGAAAGAATTAGGTATACGGAGGACGGAGCACGAGCAACCGAGGGGGAGAGAGAGAGAGAGCGAAGAGCGGAATCACGTGGAGGGGATGTCTGGGAGCGAGTGTGAGTGAGAGAGAAAAAGCGCGAGAAGAGGGGCGATAGATTAAGAAGCGGAGGAGTGCGACGGTGGCAGGTATGTAGGTACATACGTGCTTCTCGCGTGCGACATGGCTCGCGAGAGGTTAGGAAGCGCGAGTCGCGAAGGACCTCATTTCGTTCATGTTTCGCTGACGGTGCACTAGGCAGATCTTTCGAGAGGAACGCCGGGAAGACCGGCGCGAATCCATCCACAGAGAAGGAGCTTAAGGAGCATCCTTCGCACCTTGGCCAGCCGGCGATCGTCGCGCAGGAAACGGAAGACGATTTTACCGGACATCGACAGACTATCTCGCCTTGACTTCGCTCATCCAAGGCGCGAACCGATCGCGCCGGAGGACCGGTAGAGGCGTCTACCTCTGTCCCTTTCAAGGTGGACGTCGACGCATTCGATGCTTCATCCCTTCCTGCATAGGCTTCGCGGCCTCTCCTTCTGAAAACACCTTCAAGTTTGGTAAGCGTCAAAACGCTTCTTAGTCGCAGTCATTTGCGCATGTTGTGCCGGTCGAGGAACTCGGCCATACGTGCAAAGTAAAAGAAAGTCAACAGTTTAACATCCCACTCGTCCTGAGTAAATTTCGTTGATCTTTTTACATTTAGAAAAGAAGTTTGAAAAACACATCCGGCTGTTAACGATGTCCTTTCAAACTACATTTGGGAAAGATTAAATGTTAACTAATCTCTACCGTGATTATCTGTTAACTGAATGTTTTTTTTCCTTTTTTTATAGGAGACTCCTTATGGGAACACCCTTACCTTAAATCACAGGTTGACTTCTTAGAAATCACCCGTGCAGAGTAGATGAAAAGAACAGCCGGTGTTCTAAAGACCACGTGCTACTAGTAATGGGTTTAAGCAGGTTTTCAATTAGTAATCTACCTATATCTCTTGATACCTTGGTCATTCTTTTTCTGATACCAATACCTATAATTTGTGAAAATCCATATTTTGCCCTGAGTTCATTCTTTCTAATCCAGTCGGTCATGTTATCTCCTCTATTTTGTACAAATTATTGCAATTCAAATCCTTACAAAAGTATATTCGTGATAAGTTTTAATATTAAATCAAATCTTTCATTATATTACCTTTTTGAGTAACCAACACAAAGATGGACAAAGGTGTACCAAAATTGTCTCAAACATTGTTTTCTGTCTTGGCAAATATAAGCACGGTACTCAATCATTCATGTCATGTGCTTATCTTCAGTTCATATTTACAGAGGGTGTTAAATAAAAAGACAAAGTTTTCACATACAAATCGACTGCCTCGGAAGAGTAAATAAACATATTTTTGTTTAAATATAATCTATCTAAAAGAACGTGATATACTGTTAACTACTGTATAATGAACAGCTGATTGTCTGATCTCACAGCTGAGGTAGACTGCCTTGACCCACCTCAACCAAACAACGAACGAAAAATCGATCGCTACGTGTTAATTATCGCTTAACGATGCTCCTAATTGGCTGAATAACGGGAGACCTTTGGGTACATTTACCGTTCCTGGTCTTCAGTATGTTTGTGTTATTTGTGTCTTGAAGGAGAACGGATCTAATTGAAGTAAGAAAAACATTGGGACGCTTCTGGCGTGGTCGTACGTCCTCGTATTATTTCTGGACATATTGAGTCGTAAGTTTGTACAGATTCGCCGGTACGACATAAGCGGTTGTTTTCATGACTTTAAGGGACCACATGACCACTGCGACTTGCAATGAACCAATCGATATAAACGCGCAATTGCGAAATTGGGATCTATAGCGTATCGATCATTTCGGCTCCAATTAACTCGTAACAACTTTGTTTATTTCGGCGGTCATGTAATAATTCCTATCGGCCACTTCTCGTGGAATTGGGGTCAATATCTTCATCTCGAAATAGCCATACCCGATAATTGGATAAAAATAAGTATACCGTTGCATGCTGTCGCTGAAAAATAATAGACGCCTTTTTTCTTTTTTTAATCTATTTAGCTTTGAGGTATTGCCTTGGACTGAAATCATTTATGCTTGTAGGATCTTGAAAATTAGTGTGTACGAAAGTTATTCACGCTTAACTCACCGGCTGTTCCTTTTAGCTTCATCGTAGCATACATGATAAGCTCGTTGGTAATTTGTTGATTTAAGCTGGCTATGATTTGCAGTGTAATCGAGGCAATCTCATGTCGAGGTCATATGTACGAATGTCGGGAGTGGAACCTTCTCACTCGAAGTTTTCGCATACGCGTTTTGAACGGTTCAGAATGTGAATTTTTCCGTCGAATCAGGTTCTTTAAGGAGGTTAAATTGGAAACTACTTTGGGAGAAAACTTTAAGGAACTTGGACGGCTTGATGGGGCTTGGAACATGAGAAAATCGTAGGGTCTGATAGGGAGATTTAATTACGCAGACGATATTCTGTTTATAATAATGCGTATCTCTTGAATTTGTATAGAATTAGACGACCATTGAACGAACGCGTGTGCATGCAAATGCAGTGACTAAAGATGAGCCTATTTTTTCTCCGAGGTCGAATCCTTGAAAGCTATGCCAGCTGTTAATCGGTGTGGGTTTGCAAATAATGTAATTTCCCCAAGTCAACCATAGACTAGCATAGAAATTTCTAATCATTCAGGAAGTTATTATGTAAGAATTTCTACACGCTTATTACAAATAGTGGTATATTAAAAAAAAAGAAATTGATCACGGCAACTATTCGGTGCTTTCGGTTAATAAATTATATACTATGTTGATATTGCTCAAAATTCATTGGAGAGATATGTGCCCATCGGTGCGGGAATTTCATATCGTACTTCTCCATCGAGAAATCACGGTAAATAGTTGGTGCGAAACTCGTTTATCCTGTTTTACCACGGGTTTAGGTAATGGTTTCCTGTATAAAATAACATTCATGACACGCGGTCGATGAATTTTTCATTACTTTCCAGAACGGGATAAAGTGAAGAACGGTTTTAAAACATCGGCCACGTTTTCCCCGGTTATTTTCGTAGCTTCATTGTTTACCTTGCGAAGTGTGCAATGAATAGGTCGATAAGATGTACACGTGGTGCATGGAATTGCAATGTTCGGCTTAAATGATCGATAATGTAACAACACTGTTAGAAGCCTCGAATAAGTGATCGATTACTTAACGCGAGTGCTGTATGCGGTCTGAAATGTAATGAATCGAATGAATTGCACTCTTGTCTTCTCTTTTGATAAGATTTGGTCCCCAGGACTCGAAGACCAAAGCCTTATCCATTGAAATCTTCGTCATTTACTCTAAGTGCGCTTTAAGGTGAAGTGAAACACGTCGAGGAACTTGATCAATGTCGATAAAGACGATTTTTCTAAATGCCTACGTTGCCGACGTTTGTTTTTATATCAACAGCTGGGTCGAATTATATTGGGTATTGTACCAAATGGTATATTCCACCTGTCGTTTTCGTACAATAATTATAAAGAAATCGAAGTAAAACTCCAGAAATCCTCTGGATTCGTGCCTTCTGGGGCCCTAATTCACTGCGGAGGGACCCCCTGCGCCATCTGTGATTTCTAGGTCAATTAAATTTTCACTCCGAGACCTCGTATTACCATCGTTTTAGCAAAGAAGCGCATACAACACTTTTTCTGCATTTATCCCGTTCAAATGCGAGTTTATCGATTATCAGAGTGTTCTAAATTGTCGTAAAATTGTCCTGACCCTTTCGATTCTCATATCAGAGCCTTCGATAATTGTATATCGATCGAAATATGAGAGCTCAAGGCCATTTTGGTTCTGGTCTGGACTGAGTTAAAACATTTTTTTGAAAAATCCAAATTTTTAATGTGTCAGGACAATTCTTAGATGATCAAGAGTGATGTGCCAAAGTTTCGGACAGTTCGTTCTAATACCCTTAAAAAAAAGTGTTGTATTCGAATCGACTGATTCGAAGGGGGTTTCACTTCATCTTAAAGAGACCTTAGAGGCGGTCAATTTTGTTAGGTATACTTCAGTCGAGTTATCAACCACTTTCGATAATCTTTCCTCAGAGGGCAAGAAAATCTGCATACCGAAACAATAAATTCCTTATCGCCTCTAAGGAGCATCTTTGACGTCAGAACGGTTGCGGGTGTATCAAAAACGTTAATGATGATTTTTTTTATATATCGTGGCGATTATTAAATCGAGGGTACGTGACGGTGGACAATACTGTTGACATTGGGTTCATCATTTTCAGCAGATTGTGTTTCCTCGACGACGTGACATCGGTACATTTGTTGAAAAACTTTAACCAATAATCTGGTCATTCAGGGTTCGTTTGCGTTAATGTAACGTGCGTTGTAGAAATGTCGATAAATTATCGGTATCATGTCATATGACGGTACGGTGTGTGCATTTCGGTTTAACGTTACAGCTCCGTCAACATGTGCGTGAAATAGCTCGCCCTTATCTAATCTGAAGTTCAACTTAATACGTGGCATGGCGGTTCTGTTGTCGAATTGAGATAACTTTGTATAAGTATTTGTAAAATTGACCTCAGTGGACGTCAGGATGTTCAAGTCATGGATCCATGAAGAGACGGATGGATCGTAAAGTGAGATTTTTAACGAGGGGCCAGAAGCTCGAGACTAAAGAGGGTTCTGCAGCGGTCATCTTACAAGGCTGTTTATATACATGCACGGCACTTTTTTTTTAAGAATGATAAAGCACGCGGCAAAGGGTATAAAAATCGTAAAATTGTGTCGTACACCGTTTGTAAGCATTTAAACATGGCAAATGACAGTAACTGTTACCGTGTACGTGCTTCTAATTGTTTTTACTTCCCCTTAAGGTGAAGTGAAACATCCTTCAAATCAGTCGATTCGAATACAACACTTTGTTTTAAGGGTATTAGACCAAACTGTCTGAAACCTTCCCACATCACTCCTGATCATCTAAGAATTGTCCTGACACATTCAAAATTTGGATTTTTCAAAAAAATTTTTTAACTCAGTCCAGACCAGAACCAAAATGGCGTCGAGCTCTCATATTTCGATCGATATACAATTATCGAAGGCTCTGATATGAGAATCGAAAGGGTCAGGACAATTTTACGAGAATTTAGAACACTCTGGTAATCGATAAACTCGCATTTGAACGGGATAAAGGCAAAAAAAGTGTTGTATGCGCTTCTATGCTAAAACGATGGTAATACGAGGTCTCGGAGTGAAAATTTAATTGACCTGGAAATCACAGATGGCGCAGGGGGTCCCTCTGCAGTCAATTAGGGCCCCAGAAAGCATGAATCCAGAGGATTTCTGGAGTTTTACTTCGATTTCTTTATAATTATTGTACGAAAACGACAGGTGGAGTATGCCATTTGGTACAATACCCAATATAATTCGACCCAGCTGTCAATATAAAAACGAACGTCGACAACGTAGGCATTTAGAAAAATCTTCTTTATCGACGTTGATCAAGTTTCTCGACGTGTTTCACTTCACCTTAAAATACGTGATCACCAGCAGGGTAAGATGGTCGCCATTCTTCCTTCCAATTACATCTTAAGCTTCACCCGCGGAGAGATTCTCACCATCCATCTCTTCTTAGATTCTTGATTCAAGTGCCAAAGCGATCTGCATTTCTTTTTATCCACCGATTAATAGAAGATGGAAGCGAAGGCATCAAAAGGTCTGGAGGTGATAAAGCGTTACCCGAAATAAGGAATCAAAGAACAATTGACTTTGTCGCTACGGATACACGGGAATACCCCGTTGTTATGGAAATTTCGTTTGGACATGTATTATTCAAATACCGGTTTCATACCCACTTTTTCATTTATTTTCCTATATAGGAAGAAAAAGTATACGATGGGTTTATAAAAATGGAAATTGTACTCCTGTCTCAATTCCTTATTTTCGTTTTAGATCTACAACCCCGGTTTCATCGCAGTTGTGCGGTAGTCTGAAGATTTTTATTACACTCGGATGGTCAGTCCTTGACTCGTTCGATGTCGAAGCTTGCTTATGGATGATCCAAACGGGATTCGGAGTGGACAATTCGTCATATCGGCGCAGCAACAGGAATGCCATGAGATACGTAACGTCCTCGGGAAGAAGACGATACTGCGCAAAAATATTTTCCATTCGTGACTCTTAACGACGCACGGATGCGGACGAATGCGTGGAGTTATGTACATACGTCGAGGAAACGGACGCGATCTTGTATGGAACTTATCTCGTTGGCGCAACTGCGTCTTTTAATGCCTGCACCTACCACTACGTTTAACGTATCGCGACGTCGCGCCGACGTTCATTCATCGCCACTTCGTCTCGTCGGTAACCGTTTTCAGAAAGCCCCTCGTGACGCGACGGCGATAACGACAGTCTAGGTGCTTGTACCACGAGAGGGATAAAAATATGTTGGCTATTTTTTCTGGTGTGGAGTTGATGTTAAGCGGCGCGATTAAGGTGAAGTGAAACACGTCGAGAAACTTGATCAACGTCGATAAAGAAGATTTTTCTAAATGCCTACGTTGTCGACGTTCGTTTTTATACTGATANTTTCGGTTCTGGTCTGGACTGAGTTAAAAAATTTGTTTGAAAAATCCAAATTTTGAATGTGTCAGGACAATTCTTAGATGATCAGGAGTGATGTGTCAAGGTTTCGGACAGTTTGGTCTAGTACCCTTAAAAAAAAATGTTGTATTCGAATCGACTGATTTGAAAGATGTTTCACTTCACCTTAAGAGCCTGGTAAACTGCGGTATTTTTCATGTATTTGAGCTGGAAGAAAATTCGAACTCGTGTTACTCTAGGGTCACCGACCTTAGTACTCGTTGCCCTTGCCGTGAACATTGCCTACCGTCAATTGCACCGTCAATTGCTTATTGTCAGTTGGCCTACATGCACTGGCGGTAGTCGATTGTACGGTAGATAATGCTTCACAACACGAGACTTAAATCACTTAACACTTGTCGCGGTGCGACCTTTTTATCTTCGTTCCTCCCGAAGATAAGGGATCTTTGAGCTGTACAAGGCCTGACGTCGACCTCGGTCAATGTATTGGGTGATGGGCTTTCAGATGGTTTTTCCAATTGGTTAATGATTGTCTGCGGTCATGTTTCAACCGTATTTTTCATCGGAAAATCCGAGACGAAGTCACAAGTTAGGTTCTGTGATGTTTAAGCAGTGTTGAGATTATCATATGTGGTTGATGAACGAATGGGTCCTGAAAGCGGGATGAGCAGAAATGTCAGAAATTTGTTTTCAACATCGGTGAGATCGGCAATCAGTCTGTACGTTTTCAACGGTGGTATTAATGTTTCAGACCAAATTTGGTAAATAGAAAAAACGCGCACAAGATTCACCTGTTTTGTTTAGCGGTCGTTGTTGGTCGAGGTGCAAATACAGGGGAGGGTATAAAGTTGAAAAAGTAAAACTGAAATTGATCGGACGCAAGATCATTAAATGATTTTCATGACTTCGTGGTATTGCCTTGAAATGATTTTTCTCGACTTGTAACGAATATTACTTTTTTCTTTCAGGTCTATTCCGGAGCGAAAGATGATTCTCTCGGTCATCTTCTTATCGATCCTTGCTGCAACGACACATGGCTTACACAACAAACTCACGGAGGAAGAATGTCCCGTGGACTGCCACTGCCATTACTTCCGGATCAACTGGGTTACCGATTGTTCCGAGAGTAATCTCACCTGTATACCTTACGACGAACTCAGCCCCAATGTTTATATCTTGGATATGAATGGGAATAATATTGAACAGCTGGCAGCCTTTTCAAAGGGCATTAAACTTCGACGCCTGCAAATGGCGCATAACCGTCTGACGGAACTCAAGTATGAATCGTTTGCTGGATTAAACTATCTTCTGGATGCGGATTTCTCTTACAACTTTATTAGAAGAATCGACCCAGAAGCGTTTAGGTAAATTTACTGCAAAATATTTATGAAATGTCTCTACCTAAGTTATTCATTCTTGCCTTGCATCTGAAATCATTTAAAACCTAAAGACAATTTTATGTTGAAATTATGCAGTTTATTATTTTAATAATATTCACATGTTAAGCGGGAGAAAAAAAAATTAAGTTAATGTATGTATTTTTGGCATTAGACTATTCTAAATATGTCAATCGGATGAAACAGTAATTTACTCTATGTACCGTTATAATGATTCTTAGGTATAGTATGTACCGAAAATATTAGCGAAAATGTGTATTTCTTTTAATCGGCTATTAGGGTAACTTGAAATTCTTGGTGATTTGCATATTATAATTTGCTTGTTTGTATACGAATGTTGCATAACAGCATTATTAATTATATCTTTTTAACAGGGACAGCCCAGGACTTATTACTTTAGAGCTCCAGAACAATCCACTCGGGGAAATCGATGGTCATTTCCTGAACTGCCGAACTCTACTGTATCTTGATTTAAATTCGTGCGGCATTCGTCGGCTCAACGATCGATTCTTCCACAATACGACCAACTTAAATAAGCTCGATCTCTCTAACAATCCACTTCGGAGAATCGAGCCAGGACCGTTCGACCACCTTACGAGCTTGGAATACCTGAATCTAAATGCATGCAATTTAACGCACGTGTCACCCGATGCGTTTTCGCATTTGGAAAATTTGCGTGAACTGAAGATGGCCGAGAATGATCTAAAAAGCATCAGTTGGACAAACTTATTAGCCCCGTTGGTTCGTCTGGAGCATTTGGACATAAGAAAGACTGGCATTACCAATTTGCCTGGAGATGCGTTCGCTAAGAATCTGTATCTTCGACAGTTGGTTCTTGCGGAAAACGAACTCTGGCATCTCGATGTCGGTAACACGCTCGGCCACAACTTGCATAGCCTCCAATCACTGGACTTATCCCACTGCAACTTGCAGGACCGTTTGTCCGAGGAGGCATTTAGAAATGCAAGTAAATTGCGCGTGCTGAAGCTGGACGGTAATCCAATGTTTGCTGCCGATTTAACTGCCGTACTACGCCATTTACCGAAGCTGCACAAACTCTCGCTGAGCAACTGTAGCCTGCGAAAGTTGCCAAGTGCTTTCGACGTGCTGGAGAATCTTCAGGAATTGGATATCTCTCACAACCCCCTGAACAATGCATTCGTCAGTCTTTTGAATCCTCTGAGGTCGTTGGAGTACCTGGACATGTCTTATTGCAATCTGGGATACGTTGGCAACAATACGTTCGCGCAAATGACCTCGTTGAAGAAGCTCGTTCTGTCGGGCAATAAGTTCCACACCCTGGAGGAAGGACTATTCGCCAACCTGACGCGCCTGGAGAGCCTGGACCTGATGAACTGCGGCCTGAAGGCCCCGATCGACCCCAAAGTCTTCGGTGACCACCCCTACGCGAACGTGATGGAGCTGAAGATGAGTGGTAACCCATTGACCGTGACGGACGAGTCCCTTATTCCGAAACAACTGTCTCGCCTGGAAATTCTCGACGTGAGCGACTGTAACTTGACACAGCTGAACGAGAATGCGTTCATACGTGCGAAGAATCTGACTCATCTGAACCTGTCCAACAATAGACTCTCGGGCTCGGAGAATCTGGCGTTCCTGAAGAAGCTGCGCCTACTGAAGCACGTAGACCTGAGCAACAACAACTTCACTACCATTCAGCCTCACGTGTTTAAGGGGAACCCTCATCTCCTTTCGGTGAACCTCCTGGGGAACCCGTTTGTGTGCAACTGTTCGATCGTCGCTACGTGGGACTGGGCCGTTCACGTAAAGAACGACCTCCACGTTCTGGTTGGTAGCCAGCCCTCCCAGTTCACCACCGGAGCTGCAAAGTTGAGGAAGAGCCTGGCTTGCTCGTACGACGAACAGACCTATAGGACTATCATGGACCAAAGTCGCACATCCACGGATCGACGGCCGTTCCTTCGGAAGGGTGATCTCACGCCCAACCGAACTTGGGCTAAGTACATTCGAGAATCGAATTGCGGTCGTCAGTCATGATATACGTGCGGCAGATTTCAACATCCGATACTAAATATCTATTACCAAGCCAAACATAAACCTAGAGTAGAACTGTAAAGAATGTCACGGTAGGACTTCGAAGTGGGTCGAAGCATGCGTACACCCTATTGCCAGTTCCCTCATGAAACGTGGACACACAAAAGATCGTGCTACATATATTCGTATCTTTTCCTTAGCGAGTCAAGTTTCTTTTCCTCGTTATCTCCACGATGTCCCAATGGAAGAGTTCCGTAATTGTCGCATTATTTATATCGGAAGGCAGAAAAAGTAGCCAATATCGTTGTTGATCTCGGATCCTATATCCAATGTTCAGCTGAGGCCGGATTAATGGGGAAGAAAGTCACTAAAGCGGTGCTCTTGTTGATGTTGCGGCAGAGTGCTTCTTTCGGTAAAATTGACCTCACTTAGAGACCGGGTATGCCCTCGCTGGTTCTTGAACCAAAGATTCGCCGCTGTTACAAATCCGTAAATACTCTATTACCGTTGTTAACATCTGGGAAACTTGATGAGATTTATTTACCGATCCTGAGACGACGGATTCAATGTTCTCGGGAGATGTGTACTTTTTATATCAAGCATAGATTAGATACGGTCGAGCTAGTGAACTACGTCAAAGTAGATTCTCGAGATCAATCGACATGGCGTATTGGGTTCCCCAAGAACTGAAAGTGACATTTCGGTCCATGTTGAAGTGACGTTCTTCAGCGGTCTGAATGAAAAGACCGTGTATTCGGATATTGAAATCTGGTCACCGGGTGCAAGGAACTTACACTCGAAGTTCCATCCCACGCGTTCGTTTTTGAGGTGTGAAGGATAGTGACCAGTTGAACTGGATGTTAAGGTTGCATCGGAGTTCGGATAAGATTTTTTGATACGCGGATCTAAATAAAATATAATGTTTCTAATGCGATCGTTACGATATCACGCAAACTGTCCATGCGTATTCTCATGAAGGTACCTTGGTCATTTACGGACGCGGCAAGACGTCACCGCGTTCATACGCGGGTGGTTAAATATTTATGTAATTGCTGGGATTATGAGCGTCTTATCTGAGATCCGTTCTCACCCATTGGTAGCTTTTTGAAAATAGAATTGTTGTACATATGTTTCTCCTGTTATTTAAAGCTTGACCTGTTATTTGTACAACACAGAAGCATTTTATTATCAGTTTCACTGAACGGAATTTAAGTAACTCTTCGTATAATTAAACGCTCCATGTATTCCTTTAATTCAGTATATATATATATATACCACCTGAAAAAGATCATATCTGTAACGAAACATTTTCGCAAAGTTACGCAATGATCCCGCCGGTAATGTCTTGTTCTGCGTGAAAAAGAAAGAAAAAAGAAACCAAACGAGAGGACATCGATTTCGAGTTCTCCCTAACATTTCATCGGATATGTACCTCATCATTTGCATGTTGCCTGCCACGCACTGGCAATTGATTCTTCCTACAGAGGGTTGCGCGAACGATGGCCACCCTCATTGATACGAGGATTCACAAGTCCATTCGAAAATATGTACCATCACGATTTCACTGAATTAACCTATGTACAAGACTGTTTATTAAAGGCGTCTTTTTCTTCGTACGCATGTGGTACTCATCGTCGAGACAACACACCTATGCCGATAGAGATTTTATCGTCGTAAAGCGAATCATCTCTGTCATGATTGAAGTGATTGGTACTCGCAACAAATTCGGGAAGCAAGGGAAGATAGTTACCAATTAGAGTTGCATGTGACAACAGCACTAACCGATGGAATTTAAATGCATGTCAATCATCGATACCTTAAGGTGAAGTGAAACACGCCGAGGAACTTGATCAACGTCGATAAAAAAGATTTTTCTGAATGCCTACGTTGCCGACGTTCGTTTTTATATTGACAGCTGTGTCGAATTACATTGGATATTGTACTAAATGGCATACTACACCTATCGTTTTCGTATAATCAATATTAAGAAATCGAAGTAAAACTCCAGAAATCCTCTGGATTTAAGCTTTCTGGGGCCCTAATTGACTGCGGAGGGACCCCCTGCGCCATCTGTGATTTCCAGGTCAATTAATTTTTCACTCCGAGACCTCGTATTACCATCGTTTTAGCATAGAAGCGCATGCAACACTTTTCTTGCGTTTATCCCGTTCAAATGCGAGTTTGTCAATTATCAGAATGTTCTAAATTGTCGTAAAATTGTCCTGACCCTTTCGATTCTCATATCAGAGCCTTCGATAATTGTATATCGATCGAAATATGAGAGCTCGACGCCATTTTGGTTCTGGTCTGGACTGAGTTAAAAAATTTGTTTGAAAAATCCAAATTTTGAATGTGTCAAGACAATTCTTAGATGATCAGGAGTGATGTGCCAAAGTTTCGGACAGTTCGGTCTAATACCCTTAAAAAAAAGTGTTGTATTCGAATCGACTGATTCGAAGGGGGTTTCACTTCACCTTAACTCGCGGTCTGCACGTAAAGATTAGTTATAACATGGAACTACATAAAAATGACAAAGGAGAATCGAACCCTTTAACACTGGTCGTGATCGTGCTTTCTTGGGAAAATTGCCATATCATCGAAAAACCGACTACTAGTGATATCGGTACGCTCGCCTTCAAGGAATGATAAACATATCGGCGTTAATTGATCATTTTCCACATGTCAATTCCTGGGTAATTTGCCGTGCACTAAATGCTCTCGTCATACCGACTCAGCCCGGCGCAGTCTACTTCTTATCAACGATTCTTTATCACGACTCGCGTTGTTTTCTTTTTTTCTTGCAATTCGAAATTTACTTGTCTCTACAACGGCGTAGAGTTAAAAAAAAAATGTATTAAATACGACACAGCGAGTTAATCGGAGGTGCGCAAACCGCGGCATGAATTCCCGGTGCAACGTCTATTTTCAATTCAAATCCCATACGGTTACGTTCGAGTGAATTTACGCGGATCCATTAATTTTCTGATCATTTAATATTGGACAAAAGTATCCCTTCCTCGGTTTCTATCGTTAACCCGCGTGGTCTTTACGCCGTTGCGTAATTGGCCGTGCACGCGCACCGGGCGGAGCTGCCCTGTACTTAGAATATCGCGATAGTGGTACTTGGTGAACCTATCTCTATTGGCCGTTGAGCCAGTTATTTAACTAATCAGCTGAACGGTCAGCGCGCGTCATCGAGGCGGCACGAAGCGCACGTTGCTCGCTGTCAGTCCGCGCCGTGCGTCCCTGGCGATCGGGAGCGCTCTCCTGTCGTGGCTGACCTTTCGTCGCGCCCCCCACCCCCCACCGCGGATCGCCCCGCGGTCTCGATCAGGATGCTGGACCTCTTCGAAGGCTTTCCCTACATTCCGAAATTCTACTACGGCCTGCTGCTCTGCATCGGGTTTTGTACTTATTACCTCTGCGAGGTCGTCAAAGTGAGTACCCGGCCCTCTCTCCAGCGGCGGTGCGACACCCAACGCGGCGTTGCGACACCCAACGCGGCGTTGCGCGGCGCACGCGATCTTGCCGGGAACCAAAAACCTCGGATTATAACTGAGATCAACCCGGTAGCTCCGACTCGGTGATTTAATTTACTGGAGCGTCCACTCTAATAGGAGTTACGTAAAGGAGATGTCCCAAGATGTCTCAAGGCAGCCGTGGAATGAATACTATCTACACGTGCACTTCACCCCTATAGCTATGTCATCCGCACTGCAATCTTCGCGGCGGCGGTCACTTCGCGGCCTCGTCCCGATTGCCCGCGAATTTTCGAAATAGCGTCATTTCTATCTACGGCGTGACGTCATTGACGTAGAATTTCTTGATGCCGGTAAGGCGGCGGCTATATTGGGAACGTGAATCGAGTCGGGACCGTTTAAGGCGTAATCGATGCGAGAATCACGGGGGAGTGGAGAAACACGTGAATTCCTTGATCTGGCTACCGGCGCATCCCGTTCGCGCATCATTATTTAAGATGGCGGTATACTCCGTTTGGATGAAACCATCTCGAATTTTATCGTGTCTCCTGGAGTCAAGGCTAACTCGATGGGACGTGTAAACCTTTCATATTGCGCATCTTAGTCCGTATAGAGTTGAAAAATCGTCCTTGTTTACCCTGAATTCACCGGTGAGCTCACCCTGTCCTCTTATCCGGTGATTCAAATTGAAGCCAGTTGTTGGGTCAAAAGTTTCTCCCAATTATTAATGCCTGGAGGGTAATTAGGGTTAATATCACGATCAGCTAATGCACGCACCCCTTGAATGGCTATTTGGCGGGGGATACTTTAATGAGGGTAATGCATTTTTATAGTGTATGCACTTCCGTTCACGGTGCTATAAAGGTCGCTCGAAAAAAGGATCCGCATCTTTGCGGTAAATTCTTCCAAACGGCGCAATTCGATTTCTCGTTGGAATTTCGGTCAATGAGGGTATCGATGGAGATGTTTTATCAAATATCTTGAACAATTATCGGGTCTGAGAGATGCTTAATTGAACCGGTTAGTATTATATGTAAAAAAAATATATATGTATCCGTTGACATGAAAGTCTCGTTTGCGCATGCAATTCGCGTTCAAGGTGACAATATGGCGGCACGTTCGGAATCGCGCTCTATTTGAATAAAAGTAATTCCCTTGGTGGAAATCAGCTCAGGATGTTCATGAAATCATCGAAATAAAATGGAAACATTGCAGGGATTACATTATCCATTGAAACTTACTAATTCGGGAGATTTTTAAGGCACCTAATTTTTAAGTAGAACATTTTCTTGGGATTCTAACAGCCCATATTGCTCCCTCAATAGAGAAAGACATATATTAGCGCGTAAATCACTAAGTTAAATATTATTTAACATTTAAAATTATTATTTCAAAAGTAATCGAAAACTGATGCATTAATGATTACATTTTAGAATAATATTTCAGTATATTTTTATCTACAGGTGATATTCATCGGCTACGAGTAAGTGTTACGCAGTGCAACGAATAATTTTTGCATTACTTCAAAGTGAATACTTCGGTCTATCATATATATACTTTACATTAAAACATAGATATAATTCCGCATATATGTTAGCTATCTGATAACTTGTGCTAGGAAGCTCTACCGTATTTTTTGTTTTTCTTCCAGAAACCTTTACTGGTCTGCGGTACCGGACCCTTCCGTCAATTTTTGGAAAGTAACATTCCCCTGGTGAGAAATAAATTTTGGCCAACACTCTGGTGCTTTGAATCTCGAGCACAGACCATCCTAGCCAGCTTGTTGCGATCTCACATCTTGCCCAAGGTTGTATATCGTAGGTAAGTGAACAACTTGTCGAGCTTGAAATACCTTAACTATATTACTCTTAATGCCGTTCGGTTGAATGATTTTCAGAGAAATTTTAACTCTTGCGGACGGTGGCGAGGTGGCTCTAGACTGGGCTGAACAAAATTGTTGTGTAAAGACCTCTCCTATCGTGATTATTCTGCCAGGTCTTACCGGTGCCAGTCAAGCAGAGTACATAAAATGTTTGGTCCTCACTGCAAAAAGAATAGGCATTAGATGCGTTATCTTCAACAATCGGGGTCTTGGAGGAATTAAATTAAAGGTATGTTCATTTTAATAAAATAATAGAGTGTAGAATTTAAGAATATATATATACCCTACATTTTAGAAGATTAGTACAATTAATAATTATTTTGGTCTTCAGACCAAGATAACTATCTCACAGAGTTGCCCCGGGTGTACCGTTCTAGTCGCGACGTTTGTTAATGATAAGAAACGCGATTGTCATTACTTTTATTAACTTCTACTTCTTTGATTACCTCTACAGACTCCGCGGATGTACTGCGCAGCCAATTGTGAAGACTTATCCGAGGTCGTAGAGCACGTGAAGAAGCTTTATCCTCATGCTCCGCTGGGAGCGACTGGAATTTCGATGGGAGGGTAATGACTTTACTGATTTCATCGGAGTGAATGTCAAAAAAGCATCTACGACAGACAAAGGATTAAATTAATTTTCGCTGTTGAACAACAAAAAAGGGAAACCATTAATTAATACCAAATGTTATATTGTTTATCTTATCAATTACTGAATGGTAGGGACTACTTGAACAGAAAACTAAGGATTTGTTACCTTACATTATATACTATTTTATATTTAAATCTTGTCTTTTCAAACAGTTTCAATTGAACGGAGTTAATTTAAATTCATTCACGCAGTCATCTCGATATTAACTCCGCAACGAAAGCATTCAAAAGGTTCATTGCTCGTCATTGACGTCGTTTTAAAATGCACAAGCCTGACTTAAGAGACGATGCACTATGTAGTCTTCGATGGAGGTTTCAATGAATTCGTAGAAGAGTGTTGCATCACTATTGGTGTATATCTTTTGTGTCTACAGATTAATATTAGGGAATTATCTAGCAGAACAAGGACACTTGGCAGTTGGTAAGATCAAGGCAGCTCTTATCATTTCCGTACCATGGAACGTGTTTGAAGGAACAAAGAGTATTGAGAAACCTTACTTGAACCTAATGCTAAATAAGCATCTGGCTGGAAATCTCTGCCGTAATGTCAAGCATTTCCATTTCAGTACGGAAACGGGATTCTTTGATGTAGATATGGATATTGTACTCAAGGTAAAACTAAATTTAGAAGATTCGTTTATCTTCGGATATATTTAAAGAAAAATAAACTTTAAAATTTTAAAGAGTATAATGTATCACTGATTAGGACAAGTGTATACGAGTTTAAGTAATGGTATATCTTTTTCTAGAGTAAAACAGTACGAGAATTTGACGCCACATTTACAGCTAAACAATTTGGATATAAAGATGTGGAAGAGTATTATTCAAACGCCACGCTTCATAATAAGTTACATCTCATAGAAGTTCCGTTACTGTGCCTTAACGCAGCAGACGATCCATTTCAACCTTTACAAGGTAATTACCAGCAATTGCCCTCCATAGCATGTATTACACATGTATGAGTACAGCATCATTGGTATCACTTGTACAACCACATTGAAAACCTATAATATCATTTATAATCGATAACAGATCTTTTTACCACTACACATAAATATATACGTATTTTATACGTTATACCTGTCAATGTTATTTTTGCGTATATGGAAAGAAAAGTATTTTTAAAAATATATATGTGATTTTCAGCAATTCCACTGAAAGAAGTGAACAACTCACAAAATGTCGCCGTTGTCGTTACGTCACGTGGTGGTCACATCGGATTTCTAGAAGGAGTTTGGCCTGTGAAAGAAGAACCATACATCGGCAAATTATTCTCTCAGTACTTTTCAGCTATTTTCACCAATGGCTTAAACAATGGCTAGATAGCGGATAATTTGATCAGTGCCTTTAAACATGCAAGACGAGTCGTGCCGATGATAATTATTTACTAATTATCTGTCGCCTATGATTCATTCTAGAGCTCAACTTATACAAAAATGTTATTATATGCTCTAAGATCCTAGGCCGAGCATATCAATTCTCTCATAAATTTGGACTCCGCTTCACTTCAGGACTGCTTTATATTGCACTTATACATATCTGCACATTATCATTATTTTTAATTATATCATATTATTTACTACAAATTTAATTATTACATTTCTCCGAAGACTGTTCATTGCTTTAAATCTTGAATCTTGCCTAGAAATTTTATAAATAAATCTGTAAATGCTTATGCATGTTTTTTTTAATATAAAATGTGATATTAATATTTTTGTAGCCCAAAGACGAAAAACAGGCGCAACAAATAGTAATGAGGCTTATACTAAGTGCAATTATCGGCTCAATATTGCATAAGAATGCTGCGCTGAATAATTCTTGTCCACTAGTATCTAAGTTTTAATATTCTGTACGAATTTAAAATAAGAATAAAGGCAATTTTCTGTTACACATATGTTCCAATGCATTATTAATCACATTGAATTAATATTAGACATTATTATCGTTAGAACATGTATTACGCCTCAGATCTTCTAATTTTGATCCTGCAGTTCGAATTTTGTATCAATTATTTATCGCTTAGATTTTAAATGCATTGTAAATTTATGCAAATCAATCGGACATCAATTTTACCGCTCTACATTGTCGGTCTAAACGGCCGCAAAATAGGATCGCATTTCAACTAAAACCGGAATATAAATAAAAAATTCGTAAATAATATCCAACCTGTCGTGTAACAAGGAGCGTGTCTATGCTATATGTGAAACAGTTCCAATGAATGATCTCTAGGCGATAATAGATCATCGATAGCTGCGAATCATGGAATGTGGACACTCTTCGTTGCTACTATATGGTCCAGGGTTGGGGAAGTATAATACATTGTTTAACATACGTGGTGTTCTATGTGTATATTACAACATATAATACGTTTGTAGTTTTCTACGGCATTCTTTCTTGCGGCATTCTTCATATTGGAAACATAATTTAATGGTTTTCTACAATTTTCTACGATAAACTACTTTGTTTACGTAATGTACGTCAAAAACCTCGAAAAATGGGGAATTACCCAACCTTAAGCAGAGATCAATTGGGAGATTGCTCAAGGGCAGGATCGTGCGATCGCATCCTGTGCTGCCCTCTGGTTTCGTACGTTAGCTTTCACCGTTTTTTGCCCCCAAGGGCGGCGCAACGAATTTCTGAAAGGAGCTCGCGGACTCGCGATGGTGGTACCATCTACCAGTCGCCGTTGGCGGCTCATGTACTCGTGATGGTAATACCATGCGGCAGTTGACGGTGGTGGCTTACCTACGCTTACCAACACTGCTCGCTTTGATGGTAAGGGAAGAACACTCGTCACGCTCCATTTGACTTTATCTACTTACCTACTACTATTAAGTACATTGCTGCCTCGAAGTCGACGTGATGCGGAGCTTTGGGGCACGCGTCAGTTTCGCATACGGAACTCTCATGCAGTGAATCTGCGTGAGTGCGATCGCTCCTATAAATCTTCGCGCGTCCCAACCAGCCAAACGCCAAGCTACGGGTCGAGATGTTGAGTATATGTGCGTTCGGCGCTACACTCGACGACTATGCGTGAGAGTCGAATACTGCGGAAAATCATCTCGAGGCTTACCTAACTGCGGATATAAGCCGAGTCATTTCGCGTATGATTTTTACATTTCCCTACTAGCGTTATCGCGCGTTTTTCGACAGTTTTCGAACGTTTTCGAGCGTTTCTCGATCATTTTCAGAGCGTTTTCGAGCGTTTTCACGCATTTTCAGAGTGTTTTCGAGTGTTATCGAGAGTTTTCGAGCGTTTTTCGCCCGTATTCGAGCGTTTTAAAGCGTTTTCGAGCGTTATCGAGCGTTTTTCGAGCGTTGTCAAGCGTTATCGAGCGTTTTTCGACAGTTTTCGAACGTTTTTGAGCGTTTCTCGATCATTTCCAGAGCGTTTTCGAGCGTTTTCACGCATTTTCATAGTGTTTTCGAGTGTTTTCGAGCGTTTTTCGCCCGTATTCGAGCGTTTTACGCCCGTATTCGAGCGTTTTTCAACCGTTTTCGAGTGTTTTCGAGCGTTATCGAGCGTTTTTCGAGCGTTTTCGAGCGTTTCTCGATCATTTCTAGAGCGGTTTCGAGCGTTTTCTAGCGTTTTTAGACCGTTTTTTAACGTTACCGAGCGTTTTTCAACCGTTTTCGAGTGTTTTTAGAGTATTTTCAAGCGTTTTTAGAGTGTTTTGAAGCGTTTGTCAAGCGTTTTCGAGCGTTATCGATCGTTTTTCGAGCCTTATCGCAGGCCGTTGAGTGTTGTTAAGTGCAGTAGAGTCCCGTAGAGTCCCGTAGAGTCCCGTAGAGTCCCGTAGAGTCCCGCAGAGTCCCGTAGAGT